GAGAAATGGACCAGAAGGGATTGTAACATGATCACACCTCACTGGGAGAGTGTTCTCCCCCTCCATTTCTCTCTATCTCTTTGGTGAGTGGACACACCCTCCGGCAATTAAAAATAAAGGTAGCTTAGTTTAACCTACATACATAGTGTGGTTAACCTATAACAGAGATCACTTTGGCCAAATCAGGACAGTTTCAACATTTAGAAGAATATACGTAGTTAACGAAGAACCAATGTGCATTCACTGTGATACTCAAAAGGAAAAGAGGGGGGAGGTTTTCTTTGCTAAAATAATGCTAGCTGGAAAAAGTAGCAGAAATGATAGCAAAGTGTCACTGTGTGACAACTGATGCAAGAACTGACTCAGACAAGAATTACCATTGAGTCACAGTAGGGAGAAAACACGTTTGAGAGTAGGATCATCACTGATCTCGAGGTATCACCCCACAGAGTATTTATTAATTTCCAAGAGGGAAAAATCACTTTATAATAGAAAGATCTACAAGATGCCACTGTAATCAAGTGATCAATCTTAGCATTACGGCCCACATGAAATCATGAGAGGAAAGGTAATTGCCTAAGTAGTTTCCTTTCCCAAAATATTTAACCAGAATCTAATCATGAGGAAACACATATACAGATTGCAGGGAAATTTCTAAGACAACAGTTTTAGCGTCTTCAAAAGTACGGAATGTCATGAAAGACCAAAAAAGGTAGGAAAGTGTTTTAATCTAGAGACATGCTATGTAATGCCTGATTTTTGATTGGCCCCTAGGTCAGAACAGAGATTTAAATGTTGTTACTGGCTTCTGGTCAGGACGGCGCAACAGAGACAAAAAAGAAAAAAGGTATGTGGACACAAACAGACACTCAGCATCACCAGCTATTAAAAACCACAATGAGGGACCAGCAGATAGCGTTGTGGTTACATTGTTAGGCTCCCACTCAGTCGACCACGGTTTGAGTCTCAGACCTGGTGGCTTAAGACTCAGACTGGGGCCGTGTATGTGTATGTCCAAAATCCCAAGAGAAGAATGGAGGAGTAAGGATTGTGGTGTGGCCATTTCCACTGGGGCTGATTTCTCACTTTCTATCTCTATGTCTCTCTCTATTTCTCTGGAGAACACATACACTTCACCTTATAGCAAAAATCTCTCTTAAAAAAAAAAAAAAAACACAATGAGATACATTAGATATCTATTAGAAAGGCTAGATTTTTTGAAATGTAATATAAGGGGGACCAGCAGATGATATAATGATTACATTGCTAGACTCTCAAGTAGTTAACCACAGTTTGAGTCCTGGATGCGGTAGCTTAAAAACTCATGCTGGGTTTGAATGCATGCAAGCCCAAAATCCCAAGAGGAGAAAGGAGAAGGGATTGCAGCACAGCCATCCCTACAGGGGGTGAATCCCTACTTTCTGTCTCTCTCTGTCTCTCCAGTGAGCATACGTGGTTATCCTGTAGCAAAATCTCAAAAAATAAAAGGGTGAATTTTATTATGTGAAAATTATACCTCAATAAATTGGACTTAGGAAAAATACTAAAAA